TTGAAAAAGACATGACATTCGTGGCCTCTGTTCTCCCCTTTTTAATGGTGGGCTGCGCACTTAATACCTCCCTTAAGTGCTCAGCCTTCTTTTATCATTCCCCTGAGCTCACATACTCGCTCAGGTTCGAATACCCCATGTATTACATTTATCACGCCTTGAGGTGGGGCGTCAATTGGTGTTCTGTCTGGGTGATCGTGGTTTTGGGGGGCTGCCTGCGTCCCTCCCTCAATGTATTGGTCCAGATGCCTAACTACCACTAACTCTTCCAGATGCTGTCTCAACGGCGTGCAATTCTCAGTATGGTGCCCTTTTTCCTTATGGAATGTGCACCAGGATCTTTCGTCATAGTCCTTCTGTGTCTCTCCCAATTTAGCTGGCCATCTGACGAAAGGTTCATCGCGTATCTCACTGAGAATCCGATAGATCGATTTTTTGAACACCGTGGTAATGGCAGTGCGGACTCTCAACCACCTTTTATCGTGTTCCTCTCCATTGTCCCGCCTGCCTCGCCCGTTTCTGCTTGGACGTTCTACCACGTTGACTTTTATCGAAGTCTTTTTATCTAGCATTGCAGTTGTACCAGACTTTGTTTTAGCACGGGCGCCATCCTCCTCCACTCGAATGTGCTGGTGTACCCTCTCCATTAAGGCTTCCAATGTGAGGGGGGGCGTCATGGTAATTGAGTCCCTCAGCCTGTTTCCAACTGGAAGACCCTTTTTTTATTGCGCGATGGCGAGATTTGTGGGGCAATCTCCTATCTGGTAAAAGGTCTCCCAATGACGACTGTTGTAGGATCTCAACGTCTCCTTATCGCCCATGTCAATGGAGAGTAGCTGATCGATCTCTACTGGCGTCTTGGTGTTCATTCTGAACCTTGTCACGAACGCCTCTGCTAATTGTGCCCAGGAGGCTATGCTGCCTTCTGGTAGCCTTTCGAACCAGGTTAAACCTAGGTCGCCAAGGCTGGATGGGAATAGGATGCACATCAAAGCCTCGTTCTGCCGGTATACTGCCATGACTTGGCGAAAATGGCTTAGGTGCATGTAAGGGTCTGTCTTTCCCTCGTAAGTCATAAATTTAGGCTGGATGAAGCCTGAAGGTAAGGGTACGTTCTCAATTGCCAGAACGAACGGCAAGCTATGTAGCCTTGCCAATGCTTTATCTATTGGTTCGTAGGCAAGGTGCGGTTTTGGCATTCCTACCTCGACGCTTCCATGCGTTCGAGGAGCCAACCGCTGAAAGGCTGAAACTCTGTGCGGGTCGCGTGCCCTGACATCCTCCTTCCATCGTGCCCTTTCTTCAAACACAGTCCGTATGTGAGGGCCGATAGGTGCTTCCCTCAGTGTAAGACCTCAATGATCTCGTTCTCTCAGACCTGGAGTAACGAGTTCTGGAAGTCCTTGATTGAGTGTTGCCTGTTCTGAGGCTCTTACTCTCTGTTTGCGATGGCATGGTATGCCTACCACAATCTTCTGAGTGGCGAAGAGGCGTATTGCTTTAGCGCCCCTCTACTGTCACCATCCATTTCCCTTTTATCTAGCGCCTCATCAATTCCATGTCCGCCACCATCTTCCTGATTAACTCGTCCTGCTCCTTTACCTGATCCTCCAAAACTTGAGGGTCGATCCTTCGCCTCTGCCTATCGGGACTTGATGAGCGGCGGGGGCTGTTACCCCGTCTCCCCCTTGCATCCCTCCGGGAATTCTGTTGCTGGGGCTCTAAATCTGCCATGGGAGGGATAGAAGGCAAACCTTCGCGCCTCCCACCTCCCTCTGGGGTTTGTTCGTCAATGGCGGACTGCGGCAAATCTTCATTGTGCGCCATTGCGTCTAATCTAGCGAGGAAAACTTTGATCAAGAGGTTTTGT